CGCATATAAGTAATTATCGTAGCGTCATTATACGTTGTTGATATTTTTACACCGTCCTTTCTGGGGACCGTGGCATCTACAACCAACCGGGAGTTCCATGGAAGGAATGTTAGTGTTTTGTGTGGCTCTGAGATCGGAGTGATTCAAGAGCCCACGCACCTCTCGTTTAGAGTGAGTGAGTTAGTTGGATTTAACGCCGCTTTTAACAGTATTCCAGTTATATCACGGCGTTCTCTCGTTAAGATTTGGCTGGCATAGTTCGCTCTGGGTTCACCTGACGCAATTAATCGAGACGTCATCAGATTTTCACTCAGAGTGGTGTCGTATCAGAGTAAGAGAGGGCGGTCGGGTAGCCGAGCGGTTAAAGCGTTCGCTCGTCACGCCGGAGACCCGGGTTCGATTCCCGACATGGGTACAATGTGTGAAGCCCATTTCTGGTGTCCCCCGCCGTGATATTGCTGGAATATTGCTAAAAGCGGCGTAAAACAATACTTACTCACTCAGAGTAAGAGATTTAATGAGATTACTTCCTGAGGAAATTGTAACAGTGTAAACCCGATGAACGTTCAGTCCGGAAGGCATTTGGTTCTATTGAATTAGTTTGCTTCAAACATTTTGTGTAAAATGCATTGTTTCAAAATGGACTGGAAAGTGAGATACAAAATCAGTATACATTGAAATATGTTATCAGTGTTGATAGCATAGCCTAGTTTCAAGATATATTTAGATTTAATGGCGCAAAACGACATATATTTCTTCCATCAATTTCAGCAGTGAAATTTGCTCGTTTCCTGTTTGCACCAAAATCGAATCTTTAGTTTCAGCAGAAGACTGGTCCAGCGATTTGAATGTGTGGTCCTAGGAGAACACTAAATTAGACGATCCAAAAAGAAGTCAGTGTGTCTGTCTGGTCCAAACAGGTTTGAGTACAGTTTGCCGCCATACAACTGGAATATTGCCAAGTGCGGCGTTTAACAACAAACAAACTGAGTATTCAATGCTGTCGTGGAGACAACCACCATTGTGAAAGTCTGCTTCAGTTGTCCCAACCATGATAGGCGATGTGCAGAGTTGCCTCCCTTGATTCGAGTCCCGTTTCGCCCCATTTATATTTCTAGGTTTGACAGCTTCATACCCGTGTTTCACCGAAGTGGTAAAGGTCTGAGACCTGCATCATTTCGGGCTTTCCTCCCACATTAAGCTGACACGCCGTGATATAACTGGAATACTGTTCAAAGCGGTGTTAAACCCAACTCGCTCACTCACAATCGTACACGTAAGTCTGCTCAAGCGTCCAAACCATGGTACTACTTCTCCAAACCTCTCTTTTGTTTCCTGACCCGCGAAGTTTACGGGGTAGAATAGGTCTTCAGCAACCCATGCTTGCCGTAAAAGGCGACTATGCTTGTGGTAAGAGGCGACTAACGGGATCGGGTGGTCAGGCTCGCTGACTTGGTTTATGCATGTCATTGTATCCCAACTGCGTGAATCGATGCTCTTCAGGATGGCCAGTGACTTCCTGGCTCAGAATCAACTGCAACCACAATAATGTGACGTCGAAATGATTTACCGCGCACTTCTACATCTCCGATTGGTTACAAATAATGTGATATTTGAACCACCCACAGACCAATCTCTTCCCTAGCCACTGGACCCGTGAAGATCCGGGTTAGAACAGGTCTTCAGCAACCCATGCTTGCCGTAAAAGGCGACTATGCTTGTGGTAAGAGGCGACTAACGGGATCGGGTGGTCAGGCTTGCTGACTTGGTTGATGCATGTCATCGATCCCAGTTGCGTGGATCGATGCTCTTGATATTAATCACTGGATTGTCTGGTCCAGACTCGATTATTTACAGACCGCCGTCATACAGCTGGAATATTGCTGAGTGCGGCCTTAAACAACAAACCAATCAACCAACTCTCTTTTGTTTCCTGGTATTGTGGAAGGTGTTATTCGCCAATAGTTTATCACTGTTTAAGATTATTCTGCAAGTAATCAGTCACCTGTCAAGGAAAGGATGGTTGTGATTTGTTGTGATATTAATCGTGTATGAGGAAAAACGAGCGGATACCCTTTTCCTTGGTCAAAGGCTCTTTCACTGAAGGTTTTTGTTTCAAGGACATAATTGAGTGAGTGAGTGAGTTGGGTTTAACGCCGCTTTTAACAGTATTCCAGTTATATCACGGCGTGTCAGCTTAATGTGGGAGGAAAGCCCCAAGTGATGCAGGTCTTAGACGTTTACCACTTCCGTGAAACCCACGAGCACGGGTATGGTGCTGACAAACCTAGAAACATAATCGGGTCGAACCGGGATTCGAACCCACAATCATAGGTAACATAAAATAGCGTAACATGTGGGATTTCAGATATGTTTATCAACAATGTCATGAAGGACCAACAACTTGTTTGACTACAATCCTTTGTTATATTTTCACAATGTTACTTGTCAGGCCTACACTCAGAGTAAAACCTATCGTTGCGAAAACCACACTCAGGCTTACTGACTAGTTATTCTACGGGGACATTCTGGAAGTGTTCGCGACACCGTGGGGGCACGGATGGCCCAGTCGTCCAAGGCGCCGCGATTCGCTGTGCAGAGTTGCGTCCCTTGGGCACGCCAGAAACCTATGATTGTGGGTTCGAATCTCGGTTCGCCCCGCTTATGTTTCTAGATTTTTCAGCACCATACCCGTGCTCGTAGGTTTCACCGAAGTGGTAAACGTCTGAGACCTGCATTACTTCGGGCTTTCCTCCCACATTAAGCTGATACGCCGCGTATAATTGGAATACTGATAAAAGCGGCGTTAAACCCTACTCACTCACTCTTTCGAGAGAACGTATGTTGGTGCAAACGGACCAGTCTTCATCCTCTTGGCGGATAACGCACGACCTCATCGTGTCAGGGTCGTTGATTCTTGACCTTGAGCAGGAGACAATTGTCCGCATGGTGTGACCAGCCCAGTCACCAGACTTTATCAAAAGTATTCAGATTCGTTCTCTCAAGACGCCTTGTCCTTCGGTCAACTCTACAGGAACTCGGCAATGTTCTCACTGCAGAGTAGAACAATCTTCCTTTGGCAACCATGAGACGACGGTGCCAGGCTGTGGTCGATTCACGCGGTACTGAGAGTTGTTTGTTCTTGGACCATGACATTTGTTTTCGTGATTGTTTCATGTTTCTGTTTTGGTCAGATGCCCTCATTTTGACGAGTGATCTGACTGATTGTTGGTCAGATGTTGTTTGTTGGCATTGTGTGGCACATGTCAACGGACTTTTGTTCATTATCGGGGCCCAGTCGTCTGAGGCGACGCGATTCGCTGTGCAGAGTTGCGTCTCTTAGGCACGCTAGAAATCTATGATTGTGGGTTCGAATCCCGGTTCGCCCCGATTATGTTTCTAGGTTTGTCAGCACCATACCCGTGCTCCTGGGTTTCATCGAAGTGGTAAACGTCTGAGACCTGCATCACTTCGGGCTTTCCTCCCACATTAAGCTGACACGCCGCGATATGACTGGAATACTGTTAAAAGCGGCGTTAAACCCAACTCACTCACTCTTTTAGTATGATCCTTTGATCGAATATGTTCCTTGATGTGCCAAGTTTCATATATGTAATTGTGAAGTGATAGTGTGAGCAATGCTACTGTCTATATAGCTTTTTGAGTGTTGATTCAAATGTTCTGAGCCAAATATACAACATGTATCATCCACAAGAAAATGTTTCACTATTACGCAATGTCTTCAACGTGAGTGAGTGGGTATGGTTCTACGCCGCTTTTGGCAATATTCCAGCAATATCACACCAGAAATGGGCTTCACAGATTGTACCCATGTCATGAATCGAACCCGGGTCTTCGGCGTGACGAAGCCATCAATGTACATCCTGTTCTTACGTAATTGCCATCCTGGTCTTCGGCGTGACGAGCGAACGCTTTAACCACCAGGCCGACTGATCGCCCCCTTCATCGTGAGGCTCGGAACTTTTGAATCTACCCCCCTACAAGAACTAAACAGTTGAAAGACCTTAATATATCAGGAGCGAAGTCAGACCAGGTGTACGTGATGGTAAACAACATCCGATACAATATAACATAGTTCCTTTGTGGTCAGTGGCTAAGGATTGGTTGGTTGGTTTGTTGTTTAACGCCGCACTCGGCTATATGGCGGCGATCTGTTAATAATCGAGTCTGGACCAGACAATCCAGTGATTAATATCAAGAGCATCGATCCACGCAATTGGGATCGATGACATGCATTAACCAAGTCAGCGAGCCTGACCACCCGATCCCGTTAGTCGCCTCTTATGACAAGCATAGTCGCCTTTTACGGCAAGCATGGGTTGCTGAAGACCAATTCTAACCCGGATCTTAACGGGTCCAGTGGCTAGGGAAGAGATTGGTCTGTGGGTGGTTCAAATATCACATTATTTGTAACCAATCGGAGATGTAGAAGTGCGCGGTAAATCATTTCGACGTCACATTATTGTGGTTGCAGTTGATTCTGAGCCAGGAAGTCACTGGCCATCCTGAACGTGGCCATCCTGAACGTGGCCATCCTGAACGTGGCCATCCTGAACGTGGCCATCCTGAACGTGCATTTTGTGCAAGTAAGACTGACGCAATTATAGGTCATAATGCAAAATTATAGAGAAATTTTATATCACCCGTAACATGGTTTAAGTCGTAGAAGTCGATCGAATCTGTTGATTCTGGAAATAGAATCAAAATATTCTCAGGATTTCTCCATGACGAGAGCGGTCGGGTAGCCTAGTGGTTAAAGCGTTCGCCCGTCACGCTGAAGACCCGGGTTCGATCCCCCACATGGGTACAATGTGTGAAGCCCATTTCTGTTGTCCCCCGCCGTGATATTGCTGGAATATTGCTTAAAGCGGCGTAAAACCATACTCACTCACTCCCCATGACGTACCACGTGACTGATGATACACAGCTACTTCACAACAATCGCTGTGCTTTGAAACATCAAGAGAACAGATGCTTACCCGACAGAATCATTCTGGGGTCCCTTGTTTGGCAACAGTGTCCTTTCGCGAAACAAGACTTCACTCCAAGTCAAAGTTATCTCTTATATGACTAGACACTATCTTAAGGTTGTCTGTGCCGTACTGAGCAGGAAGGGTGGAGACTTCAGTATTTAAGACGCTTTGGACCAGGATGGCAATTACGTTAGAACAGGATGTATATTGATGGCTTTGTGGGAATATAGGATCAATAAATCGCGTGATTATGTTGTATTAAAGTGAACTTGAGCTCAACGCAACCAAGATATTCCAGCACGAGACATTCCAATCCCAAGGGTATCTGTATCTAGTAAGTGTCTCGCAGTAATCATGATTTATGGCACTAACGTTTCACCATACAGATCTTGCAAGTATTTGCTGTTGTCCTGCACGGCCCACCTTACCTGCGGCCTTGCCGGTACATCCTGGTCTGTGGCGCGTGCAGTCCCTGCAATTACTGAAGAGGCAGGTCACATGACAATACTCTTTTTCAAACCCTATCAACTTCCGGCCTAGCACATGCCAGACAAATAAACCAAATAACATATTTGTCATATTTCACAGGTTTGTTCATAGCTGCGGAAACGGTATCTCTATGCTGCTCACTTTAAACGAGTTTGGTATTTGTATTGTCGCTACACACAGCAACCATAGTGTTTTCGTAAAAAGCCCCGATTCGGAACATTCGGCACAAAAATAATGTATTAATCGCAATCCCCCGAAAACTGTAACACGATTCCCTTCCTAATACACGTGCCTTCAAAAATATGAAGTTATGTTTTCGATCATGCAACTTTAAATGGACTTATATAGATACTCACGTCGCAATCATTGGAAATACATTTGAAATATAAGTACATGTACTTGTCTTTGGAAGTGAATTATCTAGCAAACACTTTCCTGAAGCATATAACATATAACGCAGATTTCGATCGGGGATCGATATATGATGTCACCACACAGCTCTGGCCATACTGTTTAGTCAACATTAAAAAAGACCCGTGAAGATCCGGGTCAGAATAGTTCTTCAGGAACCTATGCTTGCCGAAAAGGCGACTATGCTTGTCGTAAGAGGCGACTGACGGGGTCGGGTGGTCAGGCTCGCGGACTTGGTTGATGCATGTCATCGTATCCCAATTGCGTGAATCGATGCTCATGATATCTATCACTGGATTGTCTGGTCCAGACTCGATTATTTACAGACCCCCGTCCCCATCTTGTCTCAAAAATATAAACTCGCTCTTAAAATTAAGGAAGACCTGCCTACTATGCGTGCTGCTTTTCAAGTTTTTCAGAGTTTTCTTGAGGACAGTTACCTCTAAAGCATATTCTAATACATGTGCCTTTTGTGAGTGACGAAATCGCTTATTTTACCAGGTCGTATTGCTTGATTCGATAAAGGTCTCAAGAACGACCCTTACTTCTGAGGTTATATTCTGTGAGGGTGTGCACTCATACGTGTGATCTTTTATCTGAAATTGGACATTTTCACACATTCTATTAATGCCCTACATTCCTTAAATAATTATTTCTATTGTTATGAATAGTTTGCATATTCATTTTGTAGCTTGTTTGTAGAGCCACACTTGTCTTTTATATGATTTTATAGTGAAACATTAGCAGAAAAGAAAACTCCCCTGTATAAGGAACAATTATAATCACAACTAACTAAATTGGGTTTTAATAATGCGTACATTTCTTCGTGTTATAACATATAGTAAGTTGAGAATATTCGTATTGAAAAGATCTTCTTTCAGGTCACCAAGTCGGTGGATGTCACGAGAAACATCAAGTGCAGTTTCTATCATGTGCTCTAGAACAGTCCAATAAGCAATAGGGGTGTTGGGTGCGCGGAAGGTGACACAAAATGGAAAACATTTCTGAGGTGAATTAACTTGATACCACACTGATTCAGAGTTAAATACTTCCGAGTCTGTTATATGCTTGACACTAAGTAATTTCGAGAATTATACAATTATGCCACCCCAAAACATTCTCTGCCCCTCCTGTGTGGGTCATGGAAGAGGTCAAGGAGAAGATCAACTGAATGAACGCTGGCGTCCAGGTGAGATTCAGAGAAGCAGAACACATCGAAATCGCAAATATCATCGAAGATTTGAGACAATTTGTTTCGGATACTTCTGATATTCAAGTGGAATATGCTTACATCATTAGTTGCGGATTTGGAAGAATATCACCTGCAACGAGGAGGTGGAAAGAAACACGTTTCATGTCAAGACACACGCCATATATTAAGACGAGAGTGTCATATGTACATTGAGAACGGCATTAAGCAATGGATATCTACTTTGCTGATGCACACTTGAAGCTTAAGGTGAGTTGGCGTACATCTATTTTAAAATAATCCAATCGTTGCCCTGAACGCAGTAAGACTTCCGCCCGCATGCCCCCTCCAAAAGTTATATAATATAATATATGTATCCATTGACGCTCCTTTTAAGGGGCGGTCGGGAATCATTGAGGTTAAACCGTCACGCCGAAGACGATTCCCGACATGGGTACAATGTGTGAAGCCCATTTCTGATGAAGCCCCCGCCGTGATATTGCTGGAATATTGCTAAAAGCGGCATAAAACCATACTCACTCACTCAATCAATCAATCAATCAATCAATCCTTTATATTTTTAGAAGGATACGGGCGGAAGTCTTACCTTTTCATATTCGTATGAACAGCTGAATAATTATCCCTGTCGGACCCTTTCAGTGTGTGTGTGTGTGTGTGTGTGTGTGTGCGCGCGTGTGCGTGTGTGCCTGTACTAATGCCAGCTTAACAGTGCTAGCCCACTGAGATACTATGCCACAGTTTAATTTGAATACCCCACTCAACACGCTGTACACTGAATGATCCTATCTGTCCTTGTTTTATCCCGAAAGTTAATGTCGAGTGCCAGGCAGGGAAACAAAAAGTACCATCTATTTCATTTTGGTATTTCTCGGCTTGGGATCGAACCTTCCACTCTCCGGGGAGATGAACGATTGGCCAGAGTATTAATTTGTTACCTTGTGGCAGCCTCTGTTTGTGGCTGGTTAAATAGAAGGTCCAGTCAATCCGTTGTTTTACTGGAAGGTAAAAGGTACGACATGATGAAGAAAGAGGTAGTCCTTTGGATGTTTGTACAAAATGACAACAAGCGAGTGCCCTCCTGTAAATCATCACCGATTCCCCTCATCTGTACCCATACCCTTAAATAATGAATGCTCCCTTATCATCATGGTCCCATCCATGGCTAAATATTTCCATCACACGTCTCTTCAGAATGTTGTAGATGCTGATTATGATGCTAAAATAGATAGTAAACACAGTGAAATAATTGTCTAAAGACTAGGGCTGGGATGAGTCTGATTGGGAATAGTTTGACCGTAGCCCTGGCAAAATGTATTTAGATAGAACGATCTGGTGATGCATAGGCTGGAGTAGACTGAAGCTTTATCTTTATTCAAACATATAAAAGTCAGAAGGAATGCGTGTGTAGGCCGAAAGAAATGCGAACATTAGTGAGTTTTGTGTAACCATGGAGTTCCAGATCATTTTTGTCAGTAAACAATATATCACGTGACTAACCACGGGTCCTGTGGGTGCCCAGGTCCTACCCATCCCAGCCCTAGTGAAGACGTCCATTCCCTGATTTTTCACAATGAATAATGGATCCACTACTAAGTCAATGTTATATTATCCAGTCGCTCTGGACAACACGCCAACTCTTCGGAGGATGTCTGCTGTTTTTGCCAGGAAGAATTAGTCATGAGGGTACAAGAATGTTTCTTCCTGAACATCCGCTGTATTTGTTTTTATTCAGTATAGAATAAGATTAAGTAAACATTTTAGTGAGAACTAAAGTGAGCTGCTAACTGGAGTGTGTAAGATTGACAGCTGACCCGATACCTCGCTTGTTATCTGTAAGTGTGCTGTCGTGATATTTTGGACACCTTACAAAAATAAAAGAATTGGTTCTCAGGGAATGGCTTTTCAAAATATAGTGCGGGTGGGTTGTTCAAACAAGTGTGTAACCAAATTAACAGTTGTGTGCATTCTACCTGAAAAAAGCCCCCTACATATATGTATTCTTTTCGTAATGATTTTACCAGAGATATACTATTGATTGATTGTTGTTTAACGCGAACTCAGGAATATCTCCTTGTCAATTTGTAAAAAGATTTGACTGATGTCCATTTTGTATTGTGTGTAGTTTGAATCAAATGCTTTTTCAAAATCTTTCAGTAATCCAAAAGACAAAATAATGTCGTATAACCTTGTGTTTTCTGAAGTGGATCTTCCTGGAATAATCCTGTTTGCTTGTTATGAATGATCAATTTCAATGTTGATTTTGTACGGTTTGCAATACAAGTATTAAGAGAACATTCAATAAAGTTATTTGATTTTGGTATACAAGTTATTCATTGTCATATATTCCAGCTTATGATGGAGATCTGTTTAAATAATCGAGTCTGGACCAGACAATCCAGTGACTGACAACATGAGCATCGATCCACGCAATTGGGATCGATGACATGCATCAACCAAGTCAGCGAGCCTGACCACCCGATCCCGTTAGTCGCCTTTTACGAGAATAGTCGCCTTTTACGGCAAGCATGGTGTTTCATTTCGGGTGACAGTAAGACTGCAAAAGCAATTTCAAGCTAGCAATCAGATATGACTAGAAGATTATTTTCAGAGCTCTGTGTGGTCAGCTTCAGGCATATGCCTGCTCATCCAAGTCTCTGAAGCACGGAGCTCTTTGATTTCGATCAGATGTTTGTGCATGTTTAAATATGACGGGTCTGGACCAGGCAATGTCAATCACTGGAATCTTTCAAGCATAGGACAATAACAACAATGGAGGACATTTCCGTTCTTTATTTTCACACAATATTACATCAAGGATGAAACAGATGGTCGAGACAATCCGATGACATGCATCGCCCAATAAGTGATCCAGGTTCGTCCGCACACGACTGCCCCCTCGTATTATCTGGATTGAGAATCACAACAGTAGAATTCAGGTGAACAAGTGATTGCTAGCTTGAAATTGCTTTTGCGGCTTTGAGTGAGTGAGTGAGTTTGGTTTAACGCCGCTTTTAACATTATTCCAGTTATATCACGGCGTGTCAGCTTAATGTGGGAGGAAAGCCCCAAGTGATGCAGGTCTCAGACATTTACCACTTCGATGAAACCCATGAGCACAGGTATGGTGCTGACAAACCTAGAAACATAATTAGGGCGAACCGGGATTCGAACCCACAATCATAGGTTTCTGGCGTGCCCAAGGGACGCAACTCTGCCCAGCGAATCGCGGCGCCTTAGACCACTGGGCCACCCGTGCCCCTTTGCTGCTTTGAAGGCGGTCTGCAACAGAAAACAGAAAACCGAGCATGAACACCCGATCCCTTTGACACCCCTGAATGTCGGGTTAGAATGGGCCTCCCCAATTACGTGTACGCACTCATGGTCTTTTTTATATTTTTATATTTTCGCAAAAACACAGTATTGATTCCAAATGAAAGCCGACACGTGCTTGGATACCAGGCATGAACAACTGCAATTTGTGATGCTATTCCTGATTTCCTCATCTTGAGATTTTATATTTTTGAAATAATGCGAAAGAACAGATAAAATGGAATGATTTAAATTCACATGATCTACAAAAGAAACACAGAACAACAGCACTAATGTTGGGATACGATGACATGCATCTCCAACCACCTGAGACCGTTTGTCGCCTCTTACGACAAGCATCGTCGTTCATTTACGGCAACCATGGGTTGCTGAACCATTTGAAGAAAAGTTTCATCCCAACAACCGGAAGTTGATATTTGGCCTCAAACGCTCCTACCTCCCAGTCTTTACGCTAATAACAAGACCGGCAATGGCGAAAAGTATTCTTTGAGGCTTACCACTGGTCTCCGTCTAAAAAAGAAAAGCGAATGAACTGATTAAATGTCTACGTCGATATGCGCAATTAACACGAAAACACTTTATGTACTTAAAAAATATTATTAGTTTCCAATTCTCATGTATGTAATCGTATTTTTTTTAATCTTCACAAATGTGTTTTTTGTTTAGGTAATTGTTTGACAAACACAAACACATGGACGACAACACAAGCATTGAAGTTAAATTTATTTTGTGGTGTTTAATGGCTAATATTCAGTCATGTCACAACGACCAACAGTTAAAAGAGCCCGAAACAGGCAATCCAGTGAACAACGATCCACGCCATCTGGGCAAAATGAAACACAAGCAACTTGTTTGTTGTTTAACGCCGCACTCAGCAATATTACAGCTATATGACGACGGTCTGTAAAATAATCGAGTCTGGACCAGACAATCCAGTGATTAATATCATGAGCATCGATCCACGCAATTGGGATCGATGACACGCATCAACCAAGTCAGCGAGCCTGACCACCCGATCCCGTAAGTCGCCTTTTACGACAAGCATAGTCACCTTTTACGGCAAGCATGGGTTGCTGAAGACCTATTCTACCCCGGAATCTTCACGGGTCCCACAGAGCCTGACCGCCCGATCAAATTTAGTCGCCTTATGCTGACGGCAATGGAGTGTCGAGGACATTTTCTCCGGGGTCCCCACAGAGAGCATTTTAAAGTTAGAGTGAGTGAGTGAGTTGGGTTTAACGCCGCTTTTAACATTATTCCAGTTATATCACGGCGTGTCAGCTTAATGTGGGAGGAAAGCCCGAAGTGATGCAGGTCTCAGACGTTTACCACTTCGGTGAAACCCACGAGCACGGGTATGGTGCTGACAAACCTAGAAACATAATCGGGGCGAACCGGGATTCGAACCCACAATCATAGGTTTCTGGCGTGCCCAAGGGACGCAACTCTGCACAGCGAATCAAAGATGACTGGGCCACCCGTGCCCCCCTTTTAAAGTTAGAAACAATCTGTAATGGTTGCGTGGATACTGCCGTTCTGTAGTTTTGTTTAAATTTGAGAATAAAATTGAAATCACAAAAACGTTTCACAATGACAAATTACATTGCCAGAAAAGCAGTATACGCAAATAATGATGTAGTTAAAATTATCAAATTTATTCTTAATTCAAACATTTGAAAAAACGCAGTCTACTTTCCTACACTATATTTTAACCAAAGCATGCAACATACCTTTAACTTCGTCCAAATCATTTAGCTGTCGACTCCTCCATTGTTGCTCTCCGACTGACACGTCACCAAGTGTACGACCTGAACGTGAAATATGCACGTGCAAATCAAGCACGGCATATTGCATCACGTCGTCGTTGCTTGTTTGTCGTCCATTCATCCTGTGGCTCTGGGGCTGAGTTTTGTGTTGCAATCAGCCAGTGTGGTCAAGGTCACCCAATCCTGTCCTTTGTTGTTTAACGCGGCACTCCGCAATATTCCAACTACATGAGGGGGCAGGGTGGCAATATTCCAGCTATATGACGGCGGTATGTAAATAATCGAGTCTGGACCAGACAATCCAGTGATTGACATCATGAGCATCGATCCACACAATTGGGATATGATGACATGCATCAACCAAGTCAGAAGCCTGACCACCCGATCCGGTTAGTTGCCTCTTACGACAAGCAGAGTCGCCTCTTACCACAAGCATGGGTTGCTAAAGACACATTCTACCCGGATCTTCATGGGTCTCCACTCCTGTCAAACTTCCCCAGGCAATATAGGAGGTATATCAGTTATGAAGTCTCCAGCTCCTTTCATTACTTCAATCAGATGAGTGAGCAGGTATAACATAAAATGTCAACCCCAAAGGATAAACAGTGATGTACAGCTTCTTTAAAATTTAAAACCAGTCTGAGATGCCACAATTCCTATGATCTGGGTTTGAATCCGGTCAGCACCACACCAGACTATAAGGCCCACCTTATCTTCAATCTAGGAAAACTAAACATCATTCAATATGAAGTACAACTTCTACCAAGCAAATAAACCACAAAGACAAACAGTTCACAGGATAATATCTTTTATTTACAAAAGGTCATCTCTGCCTCACTACATGATATATTCCACACCACACATAGTGAGTCAGGAGCCAACAATCAACAGGAGGCGACCAGAGTCACCCACTCGAGAAACATACTTTCTACAAAACAACAGGAAGATTTCACACAGTTGGTAATATGCATGACGGGAACTGTTCCACCAGAATAAGCACTTCCAGAAAGAGGCAACTAGGGCAGCCATTTTGGATTATGCAAATCATAAAGTTTCCAAGGATTTGTCTCCATTATCAATATCAATTACATTTCCTTTAACAATATTCACATCACCTTTCACTGAAACCCACACGGCAAAGCAACCTAGCACTTTGAAAATATGTAGGAAGTGTATCATCAGGAGTAGACACCATTGTCAAATCCAACTGGTCTGCAGACCGATTCTGTTTATGTAAAATAGTAAGATTTCAGTTGAAAACTTGTCCTTCTGGAATTTCACTTTTCTTGGACTATTGGCATGTCTATTCCTGGTATGATGAGTCAGTCAATGACCTCTATAATGTATAAAAAAACAAATGTACTTCACAAAATGTCTCAATGGGAAGAAATGTGAACACTGAGATGACCATGTGCCTGGTCTACCAAGAATCAGAAGCATCTAATTTTCTTCTGTCAAAGATACCGACACTCCTGTTTGCATTTACACAAAAACGATCAGTTTACAATCACAAAATTCCATCACAGTTTCTATAACATACAAAGTACAGTTATCTGCCCCTTGTCCCCAGCATCCATATTACCAAGTTTAACTAAGGAAAAACATGTTAATATTTCGATCACCTTTCGATCATGTTCAATGAGACAAAGAATCACAGTTCTTGAAATCAAACTATAAAATATATTTCTCTCTTTCATACATGTAGCAACTACGTACAATATCAAACTTGGACACGAGCTGGAAGTTTACAGGTCATCACCGACTGATATTTCATGCACATACTTCACGATACTCTAACTTCCAATCTGCAGACAAATGCTATGCACAAAACCATCAACAAAATTACAGCAAATCAATGTTAAACTTGATTTTACAAAGAAATCATATCGATCTATTACAATCTCAGAAATACAGAACTTGCAAACATATATAATATTTCAGAGTACAGAGCAACCTTTATCAAAAAATCTTTAGATATATCCAGCATATGTCTCCACTATTCTTCACACTGGTATTAAAAACTGTCTTCAAACATTCCATCCAATCGTATCAAATGCATTGCATGCATGTATAAATAGTTGCAACAGAGAGATACATTATGGTAATGTGGATTACTATTTCTTTATATATTCTTTGGTCAGTATATATATATAGATATCTACTGATGAAACCTGTTCCCATGATTATCCATTGGGTGAGCTGCAATCATTGTCAGTAACCTCACATTTGTCATTAGGTGGCTGTGTCAGAGTTCTCTGGAAGGGCCACAAATAAACGTGACCACCTCACAATTTGAGTCTGTGTCATGAAAATATGCTGACAGAAGAAGGAACAAGAGCAGGGCCCACTTGCACAAAACAATCTTAGCGCTACGACTTTTGTAAGCCCATGTTAAAGTATGGGAGTTACGATCATCTTAGCGCTAAGATCGCTTTGTGCAAGTGGGCCCTGATCCTGGCAGGACTAAGGGACAAAAGTAAGCAGAGGGAATTATGATGCCTAAGACCACTGTAGACACACACACACACTCTTTACCCTGACATTTTGGGCAATTCTCCTTTACTGTTCATGATCAAAGGGGAAAAGAGATGGCCAATATACGTCACAAATTCAGTACCTTGATATGTACTGAATGAAGAGTGAGTGAGTGAGTGAGTATAGTTTTACACCGCTTTAAGCAATATTCCAGCAATATCACGGCGGGGGACACCAGAAATGGGCTCCACACATTGTACCCATGTCGGGAATCGAACCTAGGTCTTTCGGCATGACGAGCGGACGCTTTAACCACTAGGCTACCCGACCGCCCACTGAATGAAGAAGCTGGTAGTAAGTTGTTTTATGTTGTAGCTCAATTTTAAATTGAACAAATGAGTTCGTCATGGGGTCAGACAGCATGTCAGGATTATGCTCTTTGATCAAGTCGTCTTTCGGTCAGAAGTATGGATGGAATCTCTGAACGCAGAGGCTAATCCCACATCCACCAATAAATAGACATCTGTTCTTTCTTGTGGCAATGATAATAGTCATTTCTAACGTAACAAGACAGTTTCTAACGTAAATACTCATTTCACTCAGCTGGATAATCATAAGACACGTTCAAGTGTAGATGGGTAACAGTATAACTTTCCTAACAACTAGTTTTTGTCATGGTATTGTTGGAATACAACTCCCAATAGTTCATAAATCAGCTACCTAATTTCTTCATATTTCTAAAGAAGCAGCAACCAATGTTTTTCCTGAAAGCATACATCATACTTCCCCAACCAAATGCTGATATACTATAACAGAATATTTCCCATCTCACCAAGTAAAACAAATCACCATAATTGCCAAACTCATTTTTCTTTCATATACTAAGGCAAAAGAAAACAAGTATTGTGTTTCTGGTACCCGCATGTTTCAACCCATGCACCATTTTCAACCACCAGCATCAGCATTTCTTATTTTCCAGATTTTAAACCAAGGGCAAGTAACTCTGCCCACTTCCCCCAAACTGCAAATACCACTCGTGTGTGTGCAGGTTATGTGATCACAACTGTCAAGTGCAGCTCAGACTTCACTCAAGTTTTATCAATTGCTGCAAAAAAGCATTTATCTCCAGAATGTAAACTTAATGGCATGCAAATGTGGTTGCCAAAAGGAAGAAAGCTGTGTCACATCATATAAGGCTGAACAATATTACCAGAAACATAATACTTTGGGGGGAGTAAGTTTAAGCACTACTGACAGTCTTTCTTTAAGTAAAAAGTTCACATTTCGATCTTAATGTGTGGTTATACACTGAAGATACCTCTGAAAGACTTTGAAATAAGTAACATCAAACGCCATGGTAACTAACTAAGACAATATTTGATTACAACCACTACACACTCGCCATTGAGACTATACTGAAGTATGCTGCCAGACAAAGGCGGAATTCCTTTCATAAAATCATTGAAATTAACTTAAATCCTTTGCACATTAAAAATTATAGTCAGTTCAAAATGGCTTCTCTGTGCCAGATTGTCTTTCTCAGGGGCAGGTAACTCTGCCTAAATCAAAGACTGCTAATTGTGATCGATCAACTGAGTCTATGTCAATATGACACGGGTAACATTGGACACTGTGAATCTTTCAACTGACTAGTTTACAAAAAATGCAAAATAAATTTGCAAACAGTCCTAAGGCCTTTTTTCTTTTTGGTTGGGATTTAAAAAAAAAAAAATTATTACTGACACTGAAAGGTAAGGAGGTACCTAGATGTGAAACCGTCAGCACTGCACTGTCATTAAAATCACTGCCAAAGCGATTTATAGCAATTACCGACTTTTGCCTGCAAAGTCATCTTGTACTGCGCTGCAAGATTCTAAAAAATTGAATTTTTTTTAATACATATATAAAAGTTTTTTGGATCAGCAGTGCAATTTTTTTATCCTAAATGGTTTTGTTTCATTTTCTCAGTCCTTTGCGTTGGAGGATCTTTAAGCTAAATATAAAAAAGGCCTAATTAACTGAGTTGCATTTTTGACAAGAACAGTTTCACAAAATTTAATATCATACCCCTTAAACAAAAACATGACGACTCAAAGCAGTTTCGTCAAACCACTGAAACACTCATTCAGATACAAAATCTCCAAACTGTCAACTCCGTACATCTGTTGTCCGAGAACTTAAGTACGCTAAGGAACATCATCATTTCTCAACATGGTAGTAAAATATAATTTATGGACATGAGAAAACAAAACACATGACATTGTCAGCTGTTACACAGACAACTAATGATTTCCTTCAGTAGCTATGGCAACCCTTTTCATACAAAAAAACCAACTTTCTCAATATTTATTAATATCTTTTACAAAATAAATCACAACTGCTTTTAAATACACAGTGGGGGGGGTGATGAATATCCCTATCATGTTCTATGGTAAAAACAAGGTCAATTTGTGGAAATATGTTGGATGGACAAGAGAGGTGCTCAATGCTCATAAATCTCACCTGCAAAAAACAATAACCTGCATAGGTCCAGATGTGTTTATTCCATACTGAACAAAAAGGCTGGGGATCATGAATATTTTGATGATATTTTCATGAAATTGTAAGTCAATCTTCACTACAAATAAATATCAACAACAAAAATTCATCTCTAACTTTTTTGCTCAGTATATGTCATAAAAGTGAAAAGCTCATCCCTCAACTTTCCTCCTTTTTAATCAGTCAGTGACTGTTGGTTTGCTTTCACAATCACCCACAGAAAACCCCATCAGTTAAGCCTCAAAAATCATTGAAAAGCAGTTTTCGGAGGTAATGGTGTTTCACTGTATTTGGAAAATGTGGTGGCTCGGGCTGACTCAGCTTCTGTGTAACATGTCATGATGATGTGGTAACAATGTCAGCGCAATAAAAAAGCAAATATCCTGATTATAAGTGCACTGGTCATCATCGTCCTTTGTCTACAATCAATGGCCACATTTTCAGCAATATTTGACACATCAACAAATCTGGGTTAAAAAATGTAGTTTAAATGCATGACAACATGAGTCGGTCCCCCAGCAACAGGGATTCACATGGGTCTATCTATTTTCAGCACCACGGGACTCTCAGTGTGGAGGTTCCAAGACATGAACATCAGGGGACGAGGCAGGCTGAGAATTACCGATGTCCTCCTTCTGCACATGCTCAGACGACTTAGCCTGGTATTGATGGGGATTTCAATGTTAGATCGAAGAAAATTAAGCACTGCTTGACTTGCTTGACAAAGGTACCATCATCTGTACTGAAACACTGCATTGCAAAACCTAAATGAGTTTAAATTCATAAGTGAACACGGTCTCCATTGTCACAGCAGTTCTGAAAATTCCAATTAGAGAAATTGTTGCGTTGTTGAAAAAGTGTAGGCGACTGATGAAATGTTTTGGAAGTAATATTTATTCTCTTGAGTTAATATTTGCAGCAGGACTGCCCACATTTCAGAAACCATGCATTCAATCAACATTCTTTCAAGCCGTTTCTTCAATCTCATTTTATACTCCACTGCGATACCTCAAGATGTCGCATCACGTGAACTTCAGCCAATCAGCCAAGCAAGACGTTAAAATCTCAGAAAAAGTGAACGAAGCATTCAGAAAAGCATATCGAGGTGTATGATTTCTTCAAAACACATGTTATCAGGGAGTTCCGGATGCCAATAATTAAAGCTGTGTAATTATAGTGTTGTGGATATTTCATGTCCTGTCCTTTTTGAGTGCCATGCAAAAGTGATGGACTATCAAGGGAAAGACTATCTGTGGCATTTTCTTTTGTTGAGATCAAAATTTGCAATTCGAGATGGTTGAGAAATGAAGTCAAATCAATTTAGAAAGCTGGCATCTGATTGGCTCAAGAACCCACGCATCCAATACATTTTCAGGGTTCACCTGAGCAAGACCTTCCATGGAAGTGTCCTCACATCTGATTGACCTTTTTTTAATCCTAACCTAAGCCAAACAATCACAAATGAACACTCCGAGTCATTATCATCACCAACAGCATCATCACCAACAGCATCATCACCAACAGCATCATCAACGCCTGATCATCACACACGTAGCACTGGAGATCCCGAAGGACCAGGATTAGTTCCACACACACTTCTTCAAAAATAAGGTTAATTCAGGCTCTCAGTGTTAATGTATAAAGCTAGGCTGGTATGAGAACAAATGTTCTTCATAAAATGGAATCTTCTACATGGGGAATGTTGTTTTTCACTTTTTAACAAAACGCCAAAATGTCCTAGTTTCTTGGGTAAACAAAAGTCATGTTTGTTCTCTGATAAATCAGCCCAAATGTTCTTCTTGACAACATGTTATTTCTGCTTTTAAACACAAACAAAACCTCTGATGCTAGGCAATGCACTTGTTTACTTTAAAACAGAAAGAGGCAACTCACCTGCAGAATTTGTTTTAAAATCTCTGCCAGAGAAGCGATCATACTAATTCTAGCACTGAATATTCTGGTGATCTTAGTGATTTCCACCATCATCCTGACATACGTCTCGTCTCTCGGTACATACATATGCTATATACACCTGTAAAACAGCTAGTCCCAAAAGTAAAAATTGACTTTCATGATTCAGATTCAAAATCGTTCACTTCACCACTACAATCCATCACAATAATTTACGTCATAACAATTCCGTTAATAGTTCCAACAACCTAAACGTTAACATGTTAAACCCTGAGTTTCCAAATTTTGATCTTTAATTGTTACATAATTCTGAACTGATAGAAATATTCAAACAGCTGAAACAATTTAGTGCACTACTCATAAATTACAGCAATATTTACATATGAATTGATATTTGAGTGTTTATGGAAAGCCTCGACCATCATGGTTCTTTGTGAATCATGAAACAGAGTTGCCTCCCCTTACACACCCAAGAGGTATTTCAACATTGATTTGTAATCTCATTTAATCAAGATGGCTTCTCAGTTTATGGCAATAGTTTTCTCCAACCTCACACAAAGCTTACATGGCAATCATATTTCTCCTTTGTCTTCAGAATAGTCATAAATGTAGATACATGTTTAAGCAGTTCAAATATTGAGCTGCATTCACCTTCTTTGTACCAGCAGCCTGTAAAACTGGCACCACTTCTGAACTCGGATGCTTCGCCACACAGACGCAGTCGCCCATGCTTCCTGATGTTTGAATCCTGAGCATCCCAAGCCATCTCCTCAAAGGATCCAAGTACAAAGTCTCAAATATTGTGACAAAGTCCCATGGCAACAACACCACAGAGAAACCTCCTGGCGCTGTGAGGTAAACATGGCACACAAAGGATATGTATCAGTTCCTCCAGTGTCTAGTCACCCTCCTGTATCCACTGTATTATACAGCCATTCTATCAGACAAAATTCTCCGGACCTATTTGCATTATAGTTTCAAATTTGTTTCAAAAGTCACCTTCACCATCTCTTCCAGGATCTTCTAACAAGAGCTTGGCATAGATCTGCGATGAAAACTGCTGCCTTGTTCGAGCTATACCATGATATAATTACTCACTCTACAAGACTTTAGGTTTAAGAAGGGAAGCACTGCTGCTCCCAGACATCCAACATTGTATTTGAGACGGTTTGCAACAATGGAACTTTGCCCACGGCACTGGTTCTTTCAATCATGACAGTGTAGAGTAATTTAGGAAAGCTGTGTCATTCAAACTGGAATCCAAATGAAGAGGTGGTGGATGGATCCAAGGTATTTATTTTAATAGAATGGACATATAATACCCTGGATAACCGAGGATGAGTCTACGGAGGAATCTCAAACCTCTGAGTGTGGCAAATCATGATTATTCCTGACAGAAGTAGTAACAATGGAATTGAGTAATAACTTGAAAAATACAATTTTGTATACTAATGACTAACCTTGGTATAAAAAAATACTATTCAAAAAACATTTGAACCTTGAATCGTTTGAAACATTTTTCCAAGTAATAACTTATGCTCTGTTCATATACATTACACTGCATGTCAGAAATCCTGACATGAAGCCAGGAAATCAGGATTCTTGCCTGCCAAAAGGGATACAACTCTGAACAGCGTCCAACAATCTAACGGAAAATCTATTCAGAAGATACACTGCATATTACTGAGGTGAGTGAGTGAGTTTGGTTTTACGCCGCCTTTAGCAATATGCCAGCAAAATCCAGACACCAGAAATGGGCTTCACACATTGTACCCCAGCACATTACTGTATTCAAATACAAAACAATGAGTTTGGCTCATCAATCCTCAACAAGGTGAGTTTTGATTGATGATTACACATCATGATGCATGGGATTGTCTCCGCACCTGATTGTCATCAATCAACTACTGAACATCCACAAGGTGTTGAGTATTAACTGGAAGGAGAATACAACAGAAATAATCACACAATCATCTCTGGATTCGGAATAGGAAATGACCTAAGAGCCATGAAATGAGAGAACTTTACAATTTACCATTCATTAAAATGTGCTAGGTTTTAACATTCCTGGCAAGTCTGATTCAAGACTACCAGTTAAGGATTACCTATTAACTCAGAAACAATGCTAAATGTTACACACACAACTAATAACAGAGTCTAGACACAAACTGAAGACTGGCTCCAGACAATGGAGCACAGTTCAAATTATTTGTTTTGAAAAATACTATTATGCAAATAATTTTTAATGAAATCAACAAAACTTCTTGAAAGTGTTTAGAACTTAACCCACTAAGTTTAATCATAATACCGTATTCGCCGTAATGAGCGCCCAGGGCACTCTCAAACTTAGAAATAGGGGACTCTTATTAGAATATTATTTTGGTGAAAGATCGTAAATTTTGTGGTTTATGCTGACAGCCTGAAATATTTATATACAACAGATATATTTTTCCAGAATTTAATTGCCCATAATTAAGGGTGCATATAACGCACGAGTGCGTTTTATACACGAATAAATAAGTCTTGTGTACGTTGATCAATCGGAAGGGTGCTAATTGGGATTGTTCACTAGCCAACATATTGGCAAATATCGAAGTGGGCGCTTATTAGAGCGGGGCGCTTATTACGTCGAATACGGTATATATAATTTCTTTGTTAAAACTTGCCAATAATTTTTATTCCAATCTTGCTCAATGTCTGAAGTATCCAAAGAATTTCTACAAATGGTTAAATGACGAAGGACTGGTGTGTAAAGTGAGTTTGTATACTACTGTCTTGTCCGGAATAAACATGACTTATCACCTTCCTACAACAGAAGATGGCTTCACCCAACACAGGACAGCAGGTTGAGTTTGTATGGAGAAGATCAGGAGGGGATTCACTCTGGGGTAAAACAGTTCCTAGAATCAACACCGACTCTCCTGCAGGATGGTGGGTGACCTAGATGATAACGACATCAATGACAGTGCTAACAGTGGCTATGTACAAGGATGGGCATGAAATGGACGTTGCTACCACGCCCGCTGTAGATGTAAATTCCGACTGAGGACGCTGCGCACGTCGCTGCAAAACCTGAGAGCATCTAACATAGGCAGGAGGCAGAGAAGTGCTGTGTCTGTGGCATCGCTGAACCAGGACTTGATGGGGATGGCGTTATCTGCAACATCATAGGAGGAATCTCAAAGAGAACGTAGATGAAAATAGTTACGGAAGTATATTTGGCCCAATATGGGATTATGGGGGCCTAAATGGCATTCAAATTAAGAGGTTAAAATATGGCATGCATCGTTTGTTAAGGCTTTAACCAATATTAGACTAACTTCTAGTTTCTGAAATGAACTAGTTTCACTTTGGAGAGGATCTGTAGGCTCCTTACTTGGATAGGATTATCTGTTATTTACTTGGATATTATTATCTGTTACTTACTTGGATATTATTATCTGTTACTTACTTGGATATTATCATCTGTTACTGACTTGGATATTATCATCTGTTACTTACTTGGATATTATTATCTGTTACTTACTTGGATATTATTATCTGTTACTTACTTGGATATGATTATCTGTTACTTACTTGGATATGATTATCTGTTACTTACTTGGATATTATTATCTGTTACTTACTTGGATATTATTATCTGTTATGATTATCTGTTACTTACTTGGATATTATTATCTGTTACTTACTTGGATATGATTATCTGTTACTTACTTGAATATTATTATCTGTTATTTACTTGGATATTATTATCTGTTATTTACTTGGATATTATCATCTGTTACTTACTTGGATATGATTATCTGTTACTTTCTTGGATATGATTATCTGTTATTTACTTGGATATGATTATCTGTTACTTACTTGGATATGATTATCTGTTACTTACTTGGATATGATTATCTGTTACCTGGATATGATTATCTGTTACTTACTTGGATATTATTATCTGTTACTTACTTGGATATTATTATCTGTTATTTACTTGGATATGATTATCTGTTATTTACTTGGATATTATTATCTGTTACTTACTTGGATATGATTATCTGTTACTTGGATATGATTATCTGTTACTTGGATATGATTATCTGTTACTTACTTGGATATTATTATCTGTTACTTGGATATGATTATCTGTTACTTACTTGGATATGATTATCTGTTACTTGGATATGATTATCTGTTACTTACTTGGATATGATTATCTGTTACTTACTTGGATATGATTATCTGTTACTTGGATATGATTATCTGTTACTTACTTGGATATGATTATCTGTTACTTACTTGGATAGGATCTGTAGGCTACTGGAGAGTTGTCTAGAATGAAGATACTTGACAGGTCGGGGCATATATTGGACAGATCTTTTGTGTAGCTACCACAGTCTAAATTACAATGCTGAAACAAAGAAAGTGACACAATTACTATTCCATGCAGTGTTGTCATCAAATAATTCAAAGGGTCTCAATACGTGCAACGGAGAAACAAGATGTCATATCGTGTGAGAATATCTATCATGTCCATTGAGACAAAAGTATTTCATCACAGAAAGTTGAGAGGACAAACAGAGCTCAGCACCCTTCTCGTCACTAAAAACAGCATACTTGGCCTTCTAAAATTAGGAGTGAAACAAAACATCAGTGCACGGTGCATCATGAGTTTTCATGCGACGATACGATATGCAATACTTTTTTTTCGGTATCGATACAAGACAATTCTTAGATAAAATAAACTACTTCCTACTCGTTTAATGGCACCCAGCATTTTTGACAGTCAAATATTGTAAAATGTGTTGTAATTAGCCACTACGAACATGTGTCCACAGCTAGTTTTTCCTTTTGAACCTCCATGAACCTCAGGTTTTTATGATATGCAGGTTTTAAATATCATAAACACTCAAACATAATTTACCCTTCACATAAATGAAGGAGTATGCTTCAATGTCGCTTTTAGCAACATTCCACAGGGATAACAGTGATGGACACCAAAAAGGGACTTCACACGCTGCACTCATTTGGGGAACCAAACCTGGACCTTCAGTCCTCGATGTAATACGCAAATGCTTAAACTACTTGGCTACACCACTGCACCTTTAACAATATTTAACCATACAAAGCAACATCAGCACAAAGCAGTGTTAGAAATTAAGCATTAAAGTAAAGAGTTCCTTCTGATAACCCTAATGTTAAAGTCTGATGATTAACAGGATCATTACCTTCAATGTCTCAAGGACCCAATGACCCCCATAATTCTGAACACTATTACATTTCATCAACATAATATTTGTAATCTTAAGAACAGCTGCCAACTATATATCAGGTGTTTTATTCTTCCAAAAGCAAGCTGATTGAACACATGACCTTTGAAATTCTGGTTTCATCCCTAAACATGAAAGTATAACCTTCCAACTTTAATACAGTATGCAATTTTTTCGGTAATCTTAATCTTTGTAACTAGCAATAAACATCCTACCATGGAGCTATGAAAATCAATACTTGATTTACCTGAAGTCCTCTATGACATCACCTCTTATTGTTCATTATACAGTGAATAAGTGAGTTGTGTTTAACGCCGCTTTTAACAGTATTCCAGTTATATCACAGCGTGTCAGCTTAATGTGGGAGGATAGCCCCAAGTGATGCTGGTCTCACATGTTTACCACTTCGGTGAAACCCACGAGCACGGGTATGGTGTTGACAAAGCTAGAAACGTAATCGGGACGAACCGGGATTCGAACCCACAATCATAGGTTTCTGGCATGCCCAAGGGATTCAACTCTGCACAGCGAATCGCGGCGCCTTAAACAACTGGGCCACCCATGCCCCCAATTATACAGAGACCTTCTTCAATAACATGAGCGTTTCATGTCTCAGAACACCTATGGATTACTTCTGAAAAACAGGCAGTCATGATACAAACCTGCAATGATTGTGATCATCCAATCCACATCTTTGCAGGATTTCTTAAGAGAGTTTTTTGTTTTCATGGCTATTTTGAACAGTATTTCAGTTATACCGTGACATGGCATGTTAGTTTTGGGGGAAACCCAACAGCACAGGTATGGTGCTGACAAACCCAGAAACATAACCCAAGCTAATCTGTGATGCGAACCCAGGACACACCAATGACTAGTAAGTATGGTTTTACGCCACTTTTAGCAATATTCCAGCAACATCACGGCAGGGGACACCAGAAATGGGCTTCACGCATTGTACCCATGTCGGGAATCGACCCCGGGTCTTCCGCGTCAGGACACACCAAAGGGATGGCAATTTGCACAGCCAATTGAAAGCCCCAGAGGCAAACTGCAAAGGGCCTATTCTATCCTATATCCATAACTGGGGAAAACAGGATACACCATATCACCCTCAAGAAGTCACAACGCTTGAAGGTATTATACTCTTTAACCTGTAACCATATAATTCAAAATGGCCTCTTTGTTCAAAGTTACTCAGCCATGTTTCAGAACGCTATTTGCAACAGGCATGTCTACCAAGTAAATCATGAATAACCTGCAAGCATTAATGAGTACGCTACAGGCTGATAACCAAACACAAAGTGCACACTCCATTGTTTGTCTTCCTCCACCAAATGAACATCACAGTGGATCTAAACTACATGTCCTCAAACCCTCTAACATACAAAATTGACCATGTTTTGCAAACAAGATAACACAGAGGATGAGGATTTTGCTTTCCATCTCAGTGACTAACAAGATCTAGCCCCTCCCACATTGGAATTAACCATTTCCCAGTTCATGCTAATACAGTATAACTAGTGATTGTATTTCAATGATAGTAACCAATGAGGTGAGGTGAAATTGGGTTTAACGTCGCGTCCAAGATTATTGCACTTATATAGCGACGTGCATGCACATATGTGTGTGTGTGTGTGTGTGTGTGTGTGTGTGTGTGTGTGTGTGTGTGTGTGTGTGTGTGTGTGTGTGTGTGTGTGTGTGTGTGTGTGTGTGTGTGTGTGGCTGCTTGTACTAGTCCGGACTGATGCCGATTTATAGTGCTAGCTCACTGAGATACCATGCTGGGGATCGAACCCCAGACCTTCCGCTCTCCGGGTGGACGCTCTACCACTAGACCGCGGAGGCCGTCATAAGACCATTGAACAGGGTAGAGGCTTTCAAGGCTTAGATTTACATAACTCCTTTGAATGCTGTTGTACATTGTAGCACAATTAAAACAAATCCCAATTTTAATTTTTTTTCAAATTTCTAATTTGCGTGACAAGGGCATTTAGATTAGAATCCAGGACAAATCTCTACAATCTGCAGCATATATGATTGTATTATGTCAGAAGTTAATCAAGTTCAAACCAGGTTTGACCACTATTGCAGGTACAGCACACCCGACCCCAGAAGGTGTGTGGCGTCTGCTAGCCATATTTCTTTCACCACAGTGAAGCCCAAACAAATGCTACCAAATCAGTTGCAACGTAGTATGAAGTATGAAGTGCCAATCACAGAGAAAGATATTCAAGGCTGATCACATTAACAGCTGGCCTGTTTCTGAGAGAATGATCTCTGATTCTGATTCCTGCTAGCTTGAACACTGACAACACTAAACAAAAGCAACATGCATCTTTGTTGGGATGAAGTGAGTGAGTGAGTTGGGTTTAACGCCGCTTTTAACAGTATTCCAGTTATATCACGGCGTGTCAGCTTAATGTGGAAGGAAAGCCCGAAGTGATGCAGGTCTAAGACGTTTACCACTTCGGTGAAACCCACGAGCACGAGTATGGTGCCGACAAACCTAGAAACATAATCGGGGCAAACCAGGATTCGAACCCACAATCATAGGTTTCTGGCATGCCCAAGGGACGCAACTCTGCACAGCGAATCACGGCGCCTTAGACGACTAGGCCCCCCTTGCCCCCTTGTTGTTGGAATGAAACATATATTTGGCAATATATATCTCTGTTTGGATGAAACTATACATATGGCAATATGCATCTTTGTTGGAATGCAATATACATATGGCAATATGCATCTTTGTTGGAATGAAACATACATATGGCAATATGCATCTTTGTTGAGATGAAATATACATATGCCAACATGCATCTTTGTTGGAATGAAATATACATACAGTGATCCCTCGCTACAATGCTACCTTCGGGGTCCAAATAATTGATGAGCGTTATAGATGATCAGCGGTTTAACGAAGGTCGAGTCGTAGGTGGTAGATGACCAACAAAACAGTATACATGCTCTGCCTACCTAACATGATCTACGTTGCACGTTTCAGAGTTTAAAAAAAGATTAGTATACAAATGATAGAAGCTGTTTATGATTCATTGTGTAAAAAAAATGATTTATCAAGTATTAATATGCGCTTTCAAAAAAACACATCGTATCCCTTCAGCAAATTCAGGTGAATAAACAGGTATAACAAACTTGGTCAATAAAAGTATGAAATTTGACATAAAACATTACTAGACATGGTACGACATTTATGATATGTGTATCCATTCTCTTGCAACTTAAGTTCGTTTCAAGGCGTCAATAGCGGTAATCTGACCATGGTTGCTGTAAATAACGGTCAGTTGTGCGATCTACCAATCACTTCGCATACGATTTCGCCGAAATTATTGTAAACATTATTATAATTATTGAATTAAATTTTGAATATAATAAATAAAATATATTGCAAACATTAGTCCAGATAAACAATGAACAATTTGTTTATAACCAGATATTATAACAATAGGACTAAATTGCGTACTTCTGTTTGGATTTGTTGACTGGTATTTCCCGTGTTACGTGATCGCGATGATCAGCTGATAATGATTTCTGAGATGGGGGAAATATTATGTCATTGGAAAACTTGAGTTTATTGAAAATGTTAGTAAATTTTTGGAGCCATGCAGTAAAGCGCACTATAACCGAGTTAGCGCTGTATTGAAGGGCTGATAGCAAGGGAACACTGTATGGCAATTTGCATCTTTGTTGAGATGAAATATGTATGTGGCAACAGGCATCTTTGTTGGGGTGAAACATACATGTCGCAACATGCATCCTTCAAATATAAACAGCTATTGTTTGCATGTAAGCACAAGACTCATGATCAATGTTGCAAGTGTGGCATGTCACAAGAATCAATACATGAGTGAGTGAGTATGGTTTTACGCCGCTTTGAGCAATATTCCAGCAATATCACGGCAGGGGACACCAGAAATGGGCTTCACACATTGTACCCATGTCAGGAATCGAACCCGGGTCTTCGGCGTGACGAGCGAACGCTTAAACCGCTAGGCTACCCGACCGCCCCAATCAATACATGAGACAAGAATCTTCCCACGACTACTGTGTCAGATATTCACATACGCATGACAGATTGGAAATATTAGTCATGAGAAGAAAAAAATCTTCGAAAGTTGTTACACATTAGTGTTCAAGATTATTGCAGTTGCATCAACATGCAAGTATGCAAGCATGTGGCTGCTTGTCCAGATTTATACAGAAAACAGTAAGACTGCTCTGTTACCCTAACTGGTGGACAGTGCATATGGTCATCACAATGAACTAGTTGCTCTTCATTCTCCAATGATCAGATGAATCAAAATCATAATTTAGTTCAGAAGCTTTCTTATTCAGAATCTGAAGCACATTCAACAATGAAGAACAGGACACAATACAGGCATCTTAGTGTTTCATATCCCCAAACAGAAAGACAGAAATTCTGATTACTGTTCTCGAAATTGAACATACATGGGAAGTTCCAAATGGAAAATATAAAAGGCCACACTTAAAATGTGGATATTTTGTTTACTACTTTGTCCACTACACCCCAGAGGGACTATTTGTTTTCTGTGTTGGTTTCCTTTTGTAAAGAAGGAATTTTCATAATCAAGGTAGTAAACATGGTAAAGAAATGAACTTTTGATTCGACAGACAAAGATCATTTGACATGACCTCATATTGCCAGGTCTTCATGCGAGAGGTAGCAATGTACTCACTTGTCTATAGTATCTCCTACGTAAAACCCCCCTGTTATTGTCGAGCTTGTCGGCGACTGCCGCACCGTAAATCTCCATACTGGCTGTGAAGACCACCAGGTCGTACCACTGGCTGACCTGCAACACAAGCAACATTAGTGAGGAAATACTGCCACATCAGCAATTTTTTAAACAATGATCAATGCTGCATCAGAGAGACAGAGAGAGAACTTCATCTTTGCTTCTTAGTTCAAGCCAGACTCAGCAATATTGCAGCAAAGCCTTTAAATAATCAATCTTGTGACGACTGACCAGACAAATCAGTGATTGATATTCAGAGATAGTCCCACACTATCATGACAAAAATTAACCAATTCAACAAATCTGACAACTGCCTCTTACATCTAGCTCTTTCTAAATGATCTGAATCCATTATAAACATGATAAAAGCTACAAAATAATTAATTAATAAAATACTGGCATTAATCCATAACTGCAAGTATACATAAAAATGTTCAAATATCAAATGGCCAGAATGACATTTTCAATATGGCTGCCATCACGGCCATTGTATTTGACTGTGTGAAATACATTTATGCTTTAATCCTAAAATCACAATCCTGTGCAAGTAATGAAGTTCAAAATATATGGCACTCGTTGGCAAGTTTGCCTTGTGTTTCTGTCACCAATAAGTTCATCACAGGAACACACTTAACAGAAAGACAGATGAAACAACACTTTCTGACTTCGTATGCTCTGCTATATTCATGTTCCACCATTAAAGCTGTTATTATAATCAGTGCACGGAAAATCTCCAATATCAATAAACAATTCATGACCCTTATGGGCAAAAAAATGAAGCCAGAGCTCAAAATCACATTATCACATTTACCTTCGCCCTCAATTGTTGAATAAAACCAAGAGGTGAGGTCAAATGATTCTTTACGTTGTTTTCAACATGTTCAAGATTATTGCATTTCAATAGCAATGTGGATGCACACGTGTGTGGCTGCTTGACAGTGCTTGTACCAGTCCAGACTAATGCTGGTTTTATAGTGCTAGCCCACCAAGATACCATGCTGCAGTTTAACATACCCCACTCAGACACATTAAACTGACTTCGAGCAGACCCGTCCTTGTTTTATCCGCGTCAAGAACTAGAATTTTTTTAATTCTTTTGGAATGAAGCAGCCAGGAGACTGAACCACCAACCTTCCGCTCTCCGGGCAGTTGCTAGATCACTATCCATTATCCACTATCCACACGATCACTAGGTGGTCGATTAAAACCAAGATCTAAGAAAATAGTTTGAACTAACATAAAGCATGTTCCAATATTATGTAGTGTAGTGTGTTCCAAAAGGAATAGGAGAATAATTAAATATACTTACAACTTCCAAAAAATAATCAACATGTGGCCTTTTATGCACGAAGAATCTGACTGGATGTCGGTCTATTGTAACCTGAAAACAAGATGACATAAATGTAATATTATCCACACAAGAGATGTAGATACTAATATCTATCTATCTGCACAAGCACCTCAGCTCAAAACACAATTTCTACCAATCTCATTAAATTCAGATCTTAGTGCTCACAACCACGAAACAAAGATCTGAGGACATCCCATTAAAGGTCCCACAGAACAACCTTTCACAAACTTTGATTAACCAATGAATCGACCAACAACAAGTCAACATTAGCCAATCAGCTTCTCGCACTAAACAGCTCTAGTTTCAAACTGGCAACTTCCATTCAAGGCCATGCTCTGAAAACTTCAATTTAAATTTTGAAAACTGAAGAAAACATTCTGGAATGGAATGTCTATTCCGTTCAAATGTTCATCCCAATGAAGCTAGAGATAGATGATGATTTGGACAGCATCAGTTGTTCAGGCCGTAAATGTCAGAATACCCTATGTTAACAACTTCTAGGCTGCATGATTAGAAAACAAATTCGGACTGAAACGTTCCCAATCTGGAAAGCGACGTTCTGATTGGTCAGCTGAAAGGTCATTCTGACGTGACCTGTAATGGGATGTCCTCAGATCTTTGCTTGACCCGTGAAGATCCGGGGTGGACTAGGTCTTCAGCAACCCATGCTTGCCGTAAAAGGCGACTATGCTTGTCGTAAGAGGCGACTAACGGGATCGGGTGGTCAGGCTCGCTGACTTGGTTGATGTATGTCATCGATCCCAATTGAGTGGATCGATGCCCATGTTGTCAATCACTGGATTGTCTGGTCCAGACTTGATTATTTACAGACCGCCGTCATATAGCTGGAATATTGCTGAGTGCGGTGATAACAACAAACAAACAAACAAACAGATTTTTGCTAACAAGAAATAAGTTCCAAATTTAAATGTTTTTCGATATTTGGATTTATTAGATTGATCTATTACAAACATAAAAGTTGATGCTTCACATTCAATAGAAATTCTTCAAAATAATTTACATGACATACAAGCATAAACACAACATGATAATACATCCAAGTATATCTGAAATGTGTGGAGTAAACTCACTTTTAGAACAAAGTCTGGAGGTGTCCCAGGTTTCACCGTCTGTCTTAGAACACCGTCGTGATGTGAATGTATAAGTGTTTCATCAAGATCCAACACTAAAACCTTCCTTTTTAACATACCTGAAACATGACAGAACAAACCTGAAATATGGCTCAACACACCTGAAACATTGCACAACACACCTACTGCACACCTGAAACATGGCACAACACACCTGAAACATTGCACAACACACCTACTGCACATCTGAAATATGGCACAACACACCTGAAACATTGCACAACACACCTACTGCACACCTGAAACATGGCTCAACACACCTGAAACATTGCACAACACACCTACTGCACACCTGAAACGTGGCTCAACACACCTGAAACATTGCACAACACACCTACTGCACACCTGAAATATGGCACAACACACCTGAAACATTGCACAACACACCTACTGCGCACCTGAAATATGGCACAACACACCTGAAACATTGCACAACACACCTACTGCACACCTGAAATATGGCACAACACACCTGAAACATTGCACAACACACCTACTGCACACCTGAAACATGGCTCAACACACCTGAAACATTGCACAACACACCTACTGCACACCTGAAACATTGCTCAACACACCTGAAACATTGCACAATACACCTACTGCACACCTGAAACGTGGCTCAACACACCTGAAACATTGCACAACACACCTACTGCACACCTGAAATATGGCACAACACACCTGAAACATTGCACAACACACCTACTGCACACCTGAAATATGGCACAACACACCTGAAACATTGCACAACACACCTACTGCACACCTGAAACATGGCTCAACACACCTGAAACATTGCACAACACACCTACTGCACACCTGAAACATGGCACAACACACCTGAAACATTGCACAACACACCTACTGCACACCTGAAACATGGCTCAACACACCTGAAACATTGCACAACACACCTACTGCACACCTGAAACATGGCACAACACACCTGAAACATTGCACAACACACCTACTGCACACCTGAAACATGGCACAACACACCTGAAACATCGCACCACAAACCTGAAACATCGCACATCACACCTACTGCACACCTGAAACATGGCACATCACACCTGAAACATCACACAACACAAAAATAATCACACATAATACCTCAAACACCACAACACAACCAGCCGTAGATTTTAACCCCTCTCTCAGCAATATTCCAGCCATGTGACAGAGGGGACACAAGAATTTGGTTTCACACAATTTGTTATCTCTGAGCTGTGCTGACCTTAAAATTTGTAAAATAGTTCATATTTCCGCACATATTGACTTGCCATACATACTTTCACTATTGCAGGAACTGCGACTCTGCATCTTGTAACCTGCAATTTTATGTTTCATTTCATTTCAAAAGGCTGTCCGACAATGACAGCAAAAGGAGTGACTTATTCCTAAATACTGGTGATGCAGTTGCCAAATCAGAGCTGGTTAGTGTGAAACCTCTGACTGGCCAATCAAAATAGATTTTCCGAAGTCGTACAGAATCATATTTATTTCAACTTGAATCTTGCAGAAAATCTTCACTGTTCCTATGACAACAACTCAAAACAATCAGTCCCGGTTTCAAATCAAAAGCTAAGAAATACACCAATAACAGTACGCTTAAATTTATGCCACTTCCAACAATGTTCCAGCTAGGGGAAACCAAACACAGGCTTCAAGAATAGTATCTGTGTCCGGAATTAAACCCGAGTCTTCACCTTAACCACTGGCTTAACCCACTCTCAGTATACATCACACTCTGTTAGGCCTGTGGATCCACATTAAGGAGGATCTTGAATGTTTGCTCTTGGAGTGGAATCATGTGACTACCTTAACTTGTATGGTGTGAGTATGGTTTTACGCCGCTTTTAGCAATATTCCAGCAATATCACGGCGGGGGACACCAGAAATGAGCTTCACACATTGCATCCATGTCGGGAATAAAGGCTAGGCTACCCGACCACCCCTAGTGTTAACAATAAAGGGGGGCTGGGATCCTTGAGGTCTTCTTCCAGTGGCATTTGAATCTAGGGACCCCCTCAAACTTTTTTTCAATTTCATACTTAATTTTTAACACAGTGAAGACAAGAATCCCTGGATCTAAAATCAAACATTCCTAAACCATTCAAACGTTTAAGACACGGACTAGCACCTGTTTCTTTCACAGACAAGGAGCTATGAGTGTTCAAAATGAATGGGGTTCTGAGGTCCTTCCTTTTGAATTCTGTAATTCTCTGAACCTTTTAACTTTTATCATTAGACAAGGTCCCAAATCAGCACAGCATGGTCACATAAACATATTTCAACTTTTGAATTTTTACAAGAGGGGAATGACAAGGACCCCCTGATTTCAATATACTAAACTTTAGGGCTGGAACAAGTCCAAATTTACTACCCGGGTACCCATCCCTCTATTACCCTACCCTACCCAGGTACCCGCTGTTGATCTCAAGAGACAGGTTCCAAAATGTCCCATTGGGAATAGTTTGACCGTAGCCCCGGCAAAATGTGTTTAGATACATAATAAATTGATCTGGTCATGAATAGACTGAAGTTTTATCTTCATTCAAACACATAAACGTCAGAAGGAATGCGTGCATAGTCAGAAAGAAATGCGAACATTAGTGACCTGTAGTATAACCATGGATCATTTTTGTCATTAAACAATATATCACATGACTAACCACGGGTCCAGGTAGTACTGTGGGTACCCGGGCCCTACTCAGTACCCACCAGACCCAAGTACCCGAGTTACCCGTCCCAGCTCTACTAAACTTCAAATATTGCATTGGAGCTTGGCACAACTAAGGGACACAACTCTGTACAGCATGGTCTGTCCCAGAATATCTACAGGACATGCAAGACAACATGTCGTGCTGGCTAGGGACTAATGTTAGTCTCTGATATAATATAATTTTTATAGAAACAAAGAACTACATCTACATTGAAATGGAGCCTGACAGAGATGAGAGATTCATAACAAATCTAAAGTTGCTTCATTTAGAGCTATATCATTATACTACGGTTAGGGCTGGACGCAAGGGAAAATGATTATAATGGTTTAGAGACTGGAGACAGGCTATACAGGCTCGTGATTGCCCTTCCTCAACACAGTGACATACATCTAGGAGAACAATTTGGCATATTGGGTTGAGGTCAACGGCTGATAAGAAGGACAACTCACTTAATCTGTGTTTGGACAGAGGTGACAATGGTATCATCTCGTACTTCACCGTCTGATGTTGTATCACCTGAAAACAGAAATTTAGAATCAGTTGATATGTACATATATACCACAGGTGATGCTAACGTGGGTACAATGTTACACCAATACAGCAATCTCCACAGTATGTCAAGGTAGACTTGCAAAGTGAACAAGATGGCAACTAGGTCACCTAGTTGTGTTGTTTGTGTGTTTGTTGTTTAACGCCGCACTCAGCAATTTTCCAGCTATATGACGGCGGTCTGTAAATAATGAGTCTGGACCATGCAAACCAGTGATTGATATCATGAACATTGATCTATGCAATTGGGATACGATGACCTGCAACTACCACCTGATTCCATCAGTCGCTTCTTACGACAAGAATGGGTTCTGTAAACCAATTTTAACCAAGATATTCAGAGGTATGTCTAGGTAGACATAGCAGATATGCAAAGTGAGCAATGGCGGCCACTGGGTCACCTTGTTGTGATGGCTGTATCATCTACAAATAGTGCACATTTAATGATATCGCTATGACATTCCTGCTGGTAAACATATTTGCCTACTTAAAGACAAAACAAATAACAGCATGTTTGAAATAAGGACAACTTATAGGAACACAAAGATATATGCCAGGTTTATCCATGAAACAAAAAATGCATGCATGTGTGTCATCGTGCATGGGCACTCAGAAATATTCAAGCTGAATAAAGACAGGCTGAAAATAACTGCGTGACCCAAACTATCGGGTACAATGACACGCCATCAACCATGTCTCCAAGCCTGACCCCGCTCATTCATGAAGTCATTTGATACCAACAGCATAGATTGCTAGAGACCAAATCTAACATGGAGTCTACACAACCGTTGAAATTCATTTCATTGTTTGCTTGTCATCAGCGCATAGGTATTATTTATGTTCCAATGGTGAAGGAAAAAAATGACAGTCATGTCAGTTTATTTTTAAAATTAAAAATCTGATGAGATTGTTCAGGTGGAGACAGCTTTTTCACATGTATGGATTTGCTTAAGAATGGGTATTGGTTAAACATGTTAAAGAAAGTTGATTTTGATTCATTAAAAAAATGTAGATTATTTTTTCTCTATGTTTTACAGTTTACTTCTTCATTATACAGATCATTATTTAATTCCTTCATTAATCTGTTCCATATTTATTTCAATTATTGCTAAGTGACCTTGCATTCATGTTACATGTTTGATGTTTGCATGTTTGATGTTTACATGATTTACCTACATTGTTTTCGGATCATTTCAATTTCTAGTACATTGACCAATTTTCATCCAATATGTTTTGAATATTTCTCTAACTTGGAAATGAAATACCAGTCATAACAACATCCTACCTAATGCAGATAAAATCAGGTAAAATCAGGTAAAACCAGGAAAAATCCCTGCTATCGACACGTGTTGATGTCACACATATCAACCCATGTCACAACACCTGATACCGTTCACCCCAGCTACAACCCACACAATCATTACCTTCTTGAAGAGCACAACGATCTCTCACAGCAATACAGAGTGAGAAACAGTATTACAACAGAAGCCCAAGACAAAGCTCAATGGTTAAATTACCTCCTGGACTCGGGTACTTTCCTTATTTAGTATGGTTTCCTTAATTGCAAGAACAAGTGTTATACATGAATGAGGAATTTGGTTGAACACCAAACTTATTTCTATATCATGGCAATAAAAATGTGTGAAGTTTCCAAATTTCCATTAAGGTTCAATTAGCCTGCTATGTCGACGAAAAACAAAAATTGGGTTCACTTTGGTGACAAAGACTAACCAGTTTGGGTTCAATGCTCATGATGTCAATCACTGGATTGTCTGGTCCAGACTCGATTATTTTACAGACCGCCGTAACATAGCTGAAAGATTGCTGAGTGAGGCGTTAAACAACAAACAAACAAACAAACAGCAATATATGATGCCTCCGGAGAAAAATAATTCACATGACCACTCCTGAAAGTAAACTAATAAATAAAAGTTACACTAGATCAATAACCTTATGACATCTAACATTACATATGACAACTGTACATCTAACCAGGTCAGGCAGTATTCCGAGGAAAGGAGATAAACATAGATCAAGTGTGGAGAGTGGCTCCGTGGCCCCATGGGGACGCTGGATAAGTATTTTGGTCACCAGCAATATATTTGAGTTGTAATAGGCAACTAAATGGATTGGGTAGCTAAACATTTAAGTAGAGGATAAATCACAAGTGCTGTATAATATGGGAAATACCAACCAAGTTTTAATTAAACTATCGGTTAACAGGACATTGATATTTCCCATATTATAAAATCACATGGAGAATACTATTTAACATTTCCACCACAAAGTGTTTCCCATTTAACAAATACATCAAATTTGTTGAAATATTAAAGTTCAATTTGACAAAAATAATTGAATGAGGACATGTAGCATATTTGAAACATTAAATGAAAACAATAATGATTCATTATGTTGTATCTGATCATATAGGTGGTGTAATTTCACAACCATGGTGAATCGAACCAAGCTGCGCTCGGGCAGATAGGTCACTTCAGTATGTTTTAGTCAGTTTCTTTCTGATAAAAATCTGGTGCCATTTGACTGGAACTGGACTGTGAGTGAGTGAGTGAGTTGGGTTTAACGCCGCTTTTAACAGTATTTCAGTTATATGACGGCGTGTCAGCTTAATGTGGGAGGAAAGCCCCAAGTGATGCAGGTCTCACACATTTTCCACTTCGGTGAAACCCACGAGCACGGGTTCTGGTGCTGACTAACCTAGAAACATAATCGGGACGAACCGGGATTCGAACTCACAATCATAGGTTTCTGGCATGCCCAAGGGACGCAACCCTGCACAGCGAATAGCGGCGCCTTAGACGACTGTGCCACCCGTGCCCTGTTTTCCAGTGGGCATTAGTCCTTGCACTAATAGGACATAAAATATAAAATCCAGTGATTGACATCATGAGCATCGATCTACGCATCTGCGATATGATGACATGCATCAACCAATCACCAAGTCTGCCCACCCAATCCATTTATTTGCTCTTACGACAGCATAGGTTGCTAGGGACCTATATTTTTAACTGAAGTTTCCATGGGTCTGATGTCACATGATAATTTGAGAGTGCTCACTGTTGTCTCTTGGGGATTACATTACACAAGGGCCACAAGATCTGTGTGAGATGGGAGTTTGAGGAACGAATCAAGCTGCTATGTTGGACGACTGTATTCTGCGTGTTTGGTGGGTTGCTTACTGAAAAAATGTTGTATTTTTTTGGTTCTGATCAGGACTTTTGGGACAGTAACCATGGTAACTATTTACAGAATGGTTGTTCTTGTGACCAGTTGTCTGCAAGATTTGATTCGGGGGAACATTTAACATCTAATGCCTGGCTGCTTCACACATTTTCCATGAGAGTGGATGGTTCGACTTTCTCAGCATGCTCAGCACTATTTCTGATGAATCGCAAGCTCTACTCATGCCAAAAGTGTGTCGATGACTTTCTAATCTCAAGGTCACACTCAACGAGGCTTCCATCAGCAGACAACAGAGAATAAATGAAAAAAGAATCCAACCCAAGTCTGGAATAGCCTCAGTTCTTGGAATGAAGCATTGATCTGGGCTCCATCTGAATTTTAGTTTATATTTTCTAGACATATAAAATACTTTTCAATTCAGTAACTTTATTTCTGAAACAAAATAACTGGAAAATAGTTTAAACTTGAGTTAATCCCACGTTGCTGACCGAATCGGATTTTGCGTCAGTGTAAAGACAATTCTACAAATATTCCTGGGACATATATCTACCACTATGGGACAAGACATAAGACAACAAAAAGGTGTCTCTATGTACAATTTGTTTACTCATACCAAGATTAAGGTCATGAGACAGCCAGTATTGTTATGTTATTTCACGTAAATCAAAGACTTGACATCTAAGATTACGATCTAACAGCACCATAAATCACACATTATTTTATAATCTGGATCAGATGACAAATTTCCTCAATCAGTCATATCCTTAGTGTGATTCAGTCTTAGAAAAGGTCTCCAGCAAACAATGCTTGTCGTAACAGGCGACTAAATGGATCGGGTAGTCAAGCTTGCTGACTTGGTTCATTTGCATGTGATTGTATCCAAATTGCGTGGATCCACGCTCATGATGTCAATCACTAGATTGGCTGGTCCAGTCTTGATTATTTACAGACCATCATACAGCTGGAATATTGCTGAGTATTGCATGAAACAACAAATAAAGAGAACGAACAGTAATGGCTGCAACACATCACGAGCCACAAGCAACTCATGTTTAGGTCATGTTTCGGTGGGGATGTTTACAATGGCTAGTTGTATCAAGATGGTAACTTCAACAATAAATAACAAAGCAATGGTATTTTCTATAATTTATAGAATTTATAATACTTTTAAAATGCCAAAGAAAATAGTGACATCATCAGTTTATTCAATTCAACTTTAGGGATTGCAAAAAACATCACAAATTAAGAATCAAAATGTCTTGAAGACACAAAAATATAAAAGTGGGATTAATTTCTGTTTATATCTGCTGAGATGCACCAGAGTTCCAGAAAGGTGTTCTCCTGAACATGCTTGAGAGGAATTGCACAACAAACTACTTCAAGATGTTTCCATTTCCCAGCCATTACTCAGAGCATCTACAGAGACCGGTGAGTCAGGACCCACATCTGCAATGAGTGCGTGAGTTTTGTTTTTAACACCACTTTGAACAGAATTTCAGTTACATTACAGTGTCTTTTTGATGTTGAAGGATGCCGATCTCAAGACGTTTACCACTTTGGTGAAACTCAACAGCACAGGGATGGTGCAGACAAATCTAGAAACATAATCAGGGCAAATACGACATTGAAACTTGTGGTCAGGTTACTTGTACACCGGTTTGTGCCACGCTTTCTCCGAAATCTGCATTGTTTGTTGTTTAATGTCGCACTCAGCAATATTCAAGGTATATGATAGCAGTCTGTAAATAATCGAATCAGGACAAGAT